CAAAAACATGTCTGCGTAATTTTAGGATGATAAAATGCTGATGATAATATCAATTTCCCGTAATTTTAGGATGATGACAATTCGATATAATTTCCTCCATTTGAAAAGAAAACGTAAAAAAATTCAATGAGAGAAAATTAATATATTTATCGTGCGGTTCGTTTTTCTCACCTCAACTACATCGGAAATCATAACTAAACGATACCGAAATTCAGGGCAAAGTCTAGGATTATTTTCTGGACTCGAGGCCCCGGCGTTTTTTCTTCTCTGCGTTAAAGTCGCCATGTTGACATCAACGTAACGCGAATCATTTTAGTTTTAATGCAGTAAACCTTCATTGAACCTTCATTATTGCCGAATATATTCGGGGAAAATATCGTGAATTATTGCAAATGATCAAAAAAATTAGTTTATTTAGTATAGTTGATATAGTATATTAGTATTTAATAATATTTAAAACAAATCATAGCACACAATTTTCACGATTGATATACGTATACCCGATGCGCCGAGCTCCCCAATCAAAATGCGGTTCTGATTACCAGATGAGTCATCGATAAATCAAATTCACGTGCCTGATAAAAAAAGCTCATCCAATAAATAAGGCCAAAGGGCCCCACCTCCTGCTCAACCGTTTTGACGAGAGCGGCCGGACAGGACAGGCACCAATTCGAAACAATCGGCTAATTACGGGAACAAGGGGCAGCAGCACGCAGGAGCCCGCTTCCGTGACAGACTATTGATTGCTTAAACGGGGCAAATGAGTTACGCGATTCAAAAAAAATAATTTCCGTTAGGATATTAGTCGGGCGCGAGCGAGGGGCGGGGGGCGGGGGAGCGTGATAAGAGCTGGGAAGGGGGCGGTTGCACTCTGTTTATTCCCACACTCGGCCGCAACACACCCCAACTATCGATGACAAAGGGAGGGGTGGAGGCCCCTGCCCCGCTCGGGACGGGAGGGGGAGGGGAAAAGTTCGTTACCGACCTTTGTCGCAGTCCAGGTGATGGAATCAGCTGATAAGGCGGCACAAGTGCAGCGCTCTCCCAGGCCGGAATAGCGTTCCCTAATGCGTTAATAGGGGGTGGGACCCCGATGGATTAATATTCATTTTTCGGGGCTTCCAACCCTCTCCCCTCCGGCCCGAAGCCTTTTAATTTTTAATCACGAATGTGGAAACTGAAACTCCCGGGCCTGGCGGTTGGGCTTCCCGGTTCGAAAGGGCTTTTGTTTCGCGCTTCCTGGTTCATCGGGCGTGATGCGGGATGCGCCGCTGTGTCAATGTCGGTGCTTGCTTTTGCCCCGCCGCGGGGAAAAGTCATGCGTGCCCGCTTCGTTGGAGCCCTATTGCTCATTGGGTCGTTGATAAAAGTTTTTAAGTGTGTTCGGTGCTTGATCCGTCAACGGATCAAACCCTTTAATAAGAGACACTCTTTCTACGCAAAAGTTCAAAAACATCCGGTAAATAAATTTTTAACAAAAGAATATTTGAATGGCCTTTAAGCATAAGAGATAACTAATAAAGTATATGAATGAAACTTAATAGGGATTTTCTTGTTTCTGTACTTTGTGTGTATGCCATTTCTGTTGCTCAGCACGTAGGAATATATCAGGGTTGCGTAGTATTCGCTGCAAAAAAACAAAGATATGTTGTAAGCCTCGCTGTACCTAGAGTACTTAACTGTATAGGGAGAGTATGGACAGATCGGTTCATGGAGGGCTTAGGGCCCGAAAGTGCAGCCACCCTTCTGAGCAACTTCTAACACACAAAATTTCACTGCCAGCCTACAGATTTCAATTCTAACCAAGATGGCTAAGAATGTATATAAATGAGCGTTTTTTCGCAAAAATAAGTAAATTTATGCAAAAAGTAAGCCAAATACATGCTTTCTAAACGACGACAGTTCGTAACAATTGTATTTGTAAATCGCTCTGGACATTCGAAATTCATAGGTTGGCTGCCCTTTTGGGCCCTAACTTTATTCGCGGAGGCATTGGTGAAGGCTTGATGGACTTTCGAAGTTTCAGATCTGTCCATACTCTCCCTATACAGGTACTCTAGCTGTACCCGGACTTTGATGCAAGAACGAATCAGACCATCGAAATCCATACAGTCTTCACAATACCCGTCAAACTATTGTCCAAACTACCCACCATTACCTACCATCACTACTACACTCGGTTAAAACCCACCGAAGTATGGTAGATATGCTGCCAGGACTTAAAACCTGATGCTATAGACTGAGAAAGATGAAACGAGAAAAAGATGAAGCGAAACAAAAAACATCCTAAAACATAATGGAAGAATAAATATCAAGACGCTGAAAACAAGTTTTGCTCCAAACACAAGTTTTATCCTGTTTAATTTAATTTCTTTTTCAAAAGAATTACATAAAAACGAAGAAGCTCCTCGTTCTGTTTTCCTACTTGGAAGCTCGATCGGACTTTCAAAATGCATTTGACGCTTGGAACAATAAATCGTACCTGAAAACTATTTCAAATTATGTCTTTCCGGCCTTATGGCATATCTCCAACTGTCAGGGAATTTTACTCAAATGTGCCAGGAAATCCAGGAAAATTCCAGGGAATTTCATTTTCTAAAATGGCAATCCTGAATACATGCAGGGGTTCAAATTAGCAATTCAGAAAAAGTATTTTCTCCGATCAATCGCAACGGTGTGGCCACGAGCGTGGCACCAAGCGTGCGTGGAAGCGATGTGAAAGTGCCGCGGTCCTGGCAACCCCTCTGCGCGAGTGTGGGAAAAAACGGGCCGGGTTGAGGGGTTGCAGGGCGCGGATGCAAATCACAATTCACGAGCGAGTGAGCCATGCAAACGCGATTTAAATCCGTGCTCCAATTCCCGGGACCTGGGAGCAGGGCTGCCCTTCGGTGTGACACTATCCGCGCTGCACCGGCCGGGTGCTCGCTCCGTTTTTTAATGGGCCCGGTCCTGGTTCTCACTGGGCTTCCTATGACGTCACAATCGGAAGTGCTCGAATCAGAACCATGACCGTTGTGAATATCCTCACCTTCCGGGCGAAGTATTACAAGCGCCATGCGACGTTGAAAAATTCCCGCCGCCATTTTATTTTTCACGGAGAAATTGTTCAACGAAGCTGTCCGAAAATTTCACTAAATTTTCTTTGTGCTGCCGATAAAATTTTGTGAAATTTTCTAACAGATTTGACCGACAATTTCACAGTAAAATAACAAAATGGCGGCGGAAATCACAAACTTGTTTTCTGCCTTTAAAATTCATGAAGTAACAAGATTTGCGCAACCTTTGAGGAGTCTAAAAAGATCCCAAGTGGCCATATCTTCTCGCAAAATTCGGGAGGACCTGTCCGAATTATTATAAATTTAAAATTATAGGTTAATATTTTAAATTTCGAAGATTTTTTCATAAGGAATACCAGAGAGAATCTGTTTTAGATTGATCTGATTTGTGAGTTTTATGATACTTCTTACACGGTCAAAGATTTGTCTAATTTTTTCCAACCTTTAAAAAAAAACAATCGTCTTTCCTGTATGTTAGCCGAGGATCCATCTCCTGAGCCTACACTGGCTTGAAATATTTCCTGCCTGCCGGTTTCGATCGATAGTCTATCTCCTGGCTTAAGTCTCCGGAAGCTAAGACCAGTTCCGCTTTAAGACTCTAAGCTTGTACAAACATATCATCCTGATTTTTTCTAGCCCGCACCGCATCGTTGTTATTTTTCAATTTAGGATCAAGCTTTTTTTCGCGCTAGGAAGTGTGACCACCACGACATAATCCCGGATTATCCCGCCGATCTTTGTCTGAGCGGGTTTCGTTGACAAGTTAATTAAACTCGCGATACTACCCCTCACCTGTGTTGCAAACCTTGCCAAAAAAAACAACCCCTGCATCCCGACAACGTTCCCTCGGAACACAACTTGGCCGCTGTGTTTATTCACACCTTTCGATAACTTTGACGTGTTCGGTTCGAGGTTTAGCTACGATTGGGTTTGATCCCTGCCTTTATCTCGCGGCTAATCAGGTCAACTTCCCTTCCCTTCGCCCTGTTTTTTGTTGGTTTGTTTTCGTTTACGAATGGCAACCGCAGAGTATAAACTGGTTACGGCTCGACTTGTTTGTTTGTTTTCGTTTTCACGCATGCGCTCGGAGGTTCCTAGCCGTGTTTTTGCAGTATATTCTTTCATTGGCTGCCTCGGATTTTAAACCTGACCGTGTGTGGATTGTGTCAGGGTTGATAGACTCCGAGCAAGGGATGGTTCGGTTGTTTAATTTAAATGCTGATCGGGATTTTTCGTTTAATTTTGAAGTCCATTACGATTATCGGAACGAGTTTAGCGCGCGACCAACTGTCGAGCTCCATCCCTTGCATATGCTACCATTCTGCAAAAAGTGACGTTATAGATGCCTCCACAGGATTAATTAGCTGAGCGTGTTGAATAGTCGTATTTTGATGGTTGAAACATACGGATGAGGGAAAAATATTGAAAACCGGTCCGATATTGACAGAGATGCAGACCCCCAATACGTAACCGCGCGTATCAGCTCTTCTAAAATTCCAAACTGAAGAATCCGCGATGAGACCGCTTTAGGGGATGAACCTAATCGTAATATTCTTCGGCGATATCATTAACCACCAAAATAGGATTTTATGACCAGGGCGATTCATTCCTTCCTCCGTTGAAATTCAGATTTCAGCATAGCACACTGAAAAAACACTCCGGCCGTGGGAGCCGTATTTATGGGCTATATAGACATACCGTCCGCGTTCCGGGCTGAGACGCCGAAAGTTCCGGTCGTAGCACCCGGAGCAATGGAAGCTTCGGCTCCAGCACCCGTAACTACCCGCCTCTGAGCCCGGAACGGACGGTACGTCTATATGACCCGTAACTTTTTTTTCCAGTGCATGTATCTGCCATTCATTGCGGATTAATTTTTTTGGATGATTTATAAAATGTTATTCTGGAAACAATTGGCTGAATTTCCTTTCTCTCTTTTTGTTTCAGATTTCTGGCAAATCAAAAGGCGACAGGTGGACTCTTCCCCCCAGAAGACCCAATCGTTACCACCGTCGACGGTTTCCTTAAGCCACCCCGTGGACTCCGTGTCAGCGGTATAACCCTCGACGCGATGTGACGTCACCTCGTGACGAGACGAGTCGCCGCTTTAGTCAATGTTGATCTGTTAGCATCTGCAGTTGGAGCCGTCCTCGTCCAAGATGTTGGGCTCTCCTCCGCCTTGTTTCCGACCGGATGACGCAAGTCCTCCGCCAATGTGTGATTTTCGAGCACTTTCACGCCCAACTGGAAAATCCTGAAACCAGAACAGGACGCTGGGTTACAATAGTCTACGGGTTTACCTGTACGCAAGAGCCGCAGACCGTGAGAACGTTTCACCGAATCATCTCTGAACCTGGGAATTCCGAAAATAATTGGAATAGTTGCATCGATAATCGAAGTCGATAGATCCTCGTCAGTTTACTGAGAGTGTCATTCCTTCTTGTACAGGAATCTCTAGAATTATTATCTTTGTAGGAGCTACATATCTCAAATTGAGCCCACCTGTAAAATATTCTTAGGTCGGGTCTCAAAATTCTTTCCCCGAATCATTGCAAGAGATAATCATGTCGGCTTGTCCGATAATTTTGATCCTAGCATTCCACTTTTACTCCAATCATTGTTTTTATCATCATCAACCGAGTGTTATTTAATGCGATCAAATTTTACACTTAAAGTATTTTCCAATAATCTTGATAATTTCAATCCCCAATTCTAAAATATTCACAATCAGCAAATTTGTATAAAATGCTTTAATCGCATTTCCTTACGGTTATCATAATTTTATCTGCTGTAATTGCAATGTAGCGTTCAAATCATCCGTTAACTGGGAAAATATTGAAATATTTCGTGATTGATTATTTAGAAGCCAGTCGCAATTCATTGTCTCATGTGTAACACATGACTTTTAAATGCCAACGATTTCAAAAAAGATTATCAAATCATGGATTTGTAATCCTTCTCATGTCACGAAGGTTGCAATTATGACTAATTAGCTAAATTTTGAGGCATTTGGACTAAATAGTCAGTTGAGTTGCAATAGATCAGACTTTTCTGTTAGTCGTTTTTTTTTTTGGAAATACGATCGCCTCAAGGATTGAGTTCATCCGAACTCGAGAGCTTCTCAAAAATTCAGGGTCAATCATGAACCTCAAATTTTTAAGGAGCCCTCACCTATTTCTAAAACGAATTCTTCTAAATTGAAAAGCTGAAGTAGATTATACATTTGTTCAATGATGTGCAGGTTTGACTTCTAAATAATTGATTCTTTTGAGTATTTTACAAATAAGTCTGTTGGCTCTAACAAACTGATTTTCTCAGGGAATCCCCTTAGTTCTGTTCCTGAGTTTCTATTAGTCACCCTCCTAGGGCCAGTTTGGTCGTGTATTGTGAGAAATTTCAAATATTTTTAATCATTTAATATATGTATTGTTGTAATAATTTTAAAATTTATCGTTAGACATATTGTACGATTGTAAAAATTGTAATTTAGATTAGATTAAGGCACAAAGAGCTCCCATTTATATTTAAGATAAACATAAACTCTAAAATTAAAATTTGATGAAAACTTCACAAATTGTTCCCTAGCATATGTATCCAATTATTATTAAGATTGCTGCAGGAAAGCACCTTCATAATTGTTCATTCTTAGGTGTTGTTCAAAATTTATAATCAAAATTTGTGGAATCTTAACTAGATTACACATTAAATTTTCGGCAATTCAATGTGAATAAAACTATGTTGCACTTAACAGTTCTCTGACAAAAAAACAAAATTTGAACATTTAATGTTTACATTCAATTTGTAAAATATGAATTTACTGTACATAACTTGAATTGAACCTTAGCAGATAAAAGTCAGGTTTAATTTCAAAATGAACCAAGCTAGCTCTTCTCATCCATTGTTGAAACAATATATTTTTATTATCCAAGCACAACTTTTTTATACAGACCGGATCCGAATATTTATTTTCAGAATTTTCACTAAAAAAAGATGCCTCTAGGAATAAATAATACAATTTTAAAATTTCGATCTATTTTTTGTCGCATGACCTGACTTAACATCTGACTGCAAAAAAAATTGATGCAACTGCAATAAGTGTAACTTTCTTTTAGGGGCAATAAAGATTCTAGTCTAGCTTCTGATTTTCAACTTCACAAAAAGAAAAATAAAAAGAAAATGAAAACGAAACTTTATAATTTTAATTACTATTAGTCCTAGCAGTAGTACCATCGAGCTTTTTAAGCTATTTTTAGAAATCTGTGGTAGTATTCTTAAGTTAGTATTTTATCAACAGATGAAACTTTCCGTGAAATTTAATGCTAGTTCCGCAGAAATATTCCACAAATCTTAGCGTGAATCTTGAAAAACTTTGTTTTATTATTCCGCATGGAAAAAGTTTACTTTTCCATCCCCTCCTGGTTTTATCGAAATGTACCATTCAATGTTTGTAAGTAATCCAATATATTCCTGAAAATTCAAATTCTTATGAATTACTCAAAAAACATATATTGTTTACCCTCTGATGTATTTTGGTACGTAAAAGTAAGATCTGTAAGGTAGGATCGCTTAAAGTTATCTCCACATATTTCTTTTTCTTTCTTTTTTAATATTCATCCATTGATGTATTTTTCAATGATAATGATCTGAAGGAAAATTTACGTGGTTTTTGTTTGACAAACCTTCTTTTTTAAGCAGTTTAAATATAAGAAAGTGGAATCCTCCTTCTTAGAAATCTTCCCCACATTTTAAATCGCATCTATTAGTTAGAGAACGGAAAGTGAATGTTTAAACTTCAATTAAAATTAAATCAGAGTTTTGTAAAATTGTAATTAGCTTGTAAATAAATTTGAAATTCTTTATTGTCATTGTAAAAAAAGGAAAAGAATGAAGAATAATCGGCTGATAGACCAAAGTTTTGTTTAAAGTTTTGAGTTTTTTTATTGATAAAATAAAAAAATTAATGAAAGAAATCATTTGAAAATAAATTAAAAAAGTTATAAGGTCAATGAAAAAATTGAATTTATCATTGCTATGTGATCTCCTATTTGCTTTGCTAGTCCTTGATTATAATCTTTAAAATAGTTTTAGGATGTATTGTGGTTTTCAATTAGAACTGTAACATTTCGTTGTGTAGTATTTAAGAATCAAATTTTAATTATTTACTTGCTAGTTTTCTAGGAAAATACACTTTACATTTCACCTTACCATTCAAAAGCTCTGTAATATTATTGAAAAAAATAAAAATAAGGATGCCAATATATCTCGACTTTTTATCATTTCCTTTCCGTCAGCGTCATGCTCAATATGAAACTTATCTTGAGTGCAAATTTTAAGAAAATCACTTTCTGCACATATTTTGCCGTTTATAAGACGAAAGAACGTAACTGCATTTCGATACTACATTATTGAATTAAACAATTCAAATAGTTACAAGAATATGGCTGTTCCATTTCTGTCCTAACTTCAGCTGATTTTTGTGAGTGGTCAGAAGGAAAATCACTGGAATTTCCATTTAGAAACACCAATGATTTCTTTGTTCAAATAAAATGCTTTGCGAACAAAAATTTGGAAAGGTCGACATGTAGCTACGTTCTTTTTGTCCAGAAAGTTACGCTTTAAAATCTCATGAGCGATTAGTTATACAAGTAACGTCCAGTATAGTAACAAAAAAAGGAGTTATTTACTTTTAAAACCTCATTTAATGAATAGCTTCCTCCTTTTCTCTGCTCTTTTAAACAGAAGATCAAAATTGAGACGATAAACTGGTAAAGAATTAAGACATAGAAAAATCAATAGCAAAATATTAACTGACTGCCGTGAAAAGCAGAAATGAGTAAAGAATGTTCTCTTACATGGAGAACACGTAAAAAGTGAACGAATTCTTTGCAAGGGAAAAGGTATGATGAATTTATAGGTTCCAGTTTATCCGTCCAGATGCTTCTGCAAAACGGAATAACTTAATTTAGAGGGGTCACTAGGTTGCCGGTACTGCCATAATTCTACAATTTCGACTCAATTGAGGAGTTGATAAAATGGCTAGTGGACTCTAGAGAAGCTAGTTCTTCAAAATTTGGGCATTAAATAAGAATTCAACATATTTGAACATGCTATTCTTTACAGAAAAAAGGAAAAGAAAGAGCAGAGCTTACACATGAAATCTAAAAGATGAAGAATCTCATTTAAATACTTGAAAATAATCGAAAGTAATATAATTTTGAACAAGACTTTTGTAACTTTTGCAAATTCAGAGCATATCATCTGAAACTTTAAGATCACATAAAATTCTGCAAATTTGTATAACCTTAAAAGTGCCTCTCAAAACAACCGTGCCTTAGTTCAGGAAGTGCCCAACTCGATAATTTACATTTTTTTAGGGAACTGTTTCGTGTGAAATTCAATAGAGAAAATTGAGAAATATTTTTGCGTAAGAGAGTGAATGCCGAAAGAGATCCGAGTAAGGCACTTTCTGAGCGGAAAGTTTTTTTATTAGAGAAGTGTGCTTGCCCTGAAGGAGAATTAAGCTTAAGAAGCTGTTATAATTTAAAATATCAATCATTCCAGAAAAATGCCTATCAAATACAATGTACGTGTCGATGGTGAGAAACTCCTAGACCCCTAAACGTCTTTATCGAGGGTATTCACTTAATGAGTTGATCTAACTGGGTTGCAAACCTGAAAATTGTCCGTTAATTTTTACTTTAATGAAGGAGAACTAACTGTTTTCAATCCTTAAACTTCTTCAAAATTTTCATTTGTTCTCCGAAAATTTCATGAAAAAATTTCAGCCATTACCCAACTTAAGAGATTAAAACAAGGAAAGAACCGCAATTGATATGCAAATTTTTGAGCGCACCCTCCTTGTGGGGTGCTGCGCCCTTTTCAACAGTTTTGCTTCGTTTCTGTGCCTATTTCCATTAATCTGACCATTTAAGTAGAAGTTTTTATTCTTTAAAAATAATCATCATTCAAACTCGAGTATTGTAGAAATCGTGGATCTAGCTTATTATTGAAACGTCTAAATATCTTGATAATTTATGCACTTGACAACAATGGATAGAAAACATGTTGATCTTTTAATTAAATTTGGGGCAGGTCAGTTGGCAGCAGACCTCTGCTGCGGAGATGAACGTTGATATTTTTGGCCGCTTCCGGTCAACTTTCCGTTACTGGGTCCCCCTCAGTGGGCTCTAATCACTTGATCTTAAAACGAGGCCTCTTTGTCCACAAGTTTGGTTATTTTTGTCTAAGAGATGCACATTGTACACGGAGCTCAAAATTGCTTCATGCAAATTCTCATGACCGAAGGAGTGGTGTGACAAATACGTACACTTTCGGAGGTACTCTGCATGTCATCTAAACTTGGTAGATACTTCTAAGTAAGGAAAATGTTCACTGTTAAAAATGATGATTTTCTGTTCCCACATTAAAAATAGATCTAGTCAACTTTGACTCTGGATCTGAGAAAAATTTAACAATCTTGAATTCCTTTGACCCGGATCGACTTTATATGACTCTAATTGACTCCGAAATGACTTTAGTCGACTCTAAATTACTTTAATTGCATCTAAGGTATATAGAATCCCATTTCACATAATTTACGAGTCAATTGACTCGACATTTTCAAAAGAGACAGTGTATGGCTTCTACGAGCCACCAAATATCAGTATGAATTGCACTCATTATTTCAATATTTTATGAAATGATCACCAAAATATCAACAGCGCAGAGTATTTTGATACCACAAGTCAGAGTAACAGTTTTTAGCATAAGGAAAGGAGTAAAATAAAATCCACGATTTGTGTTTTCCTGATTGTGAATTCAAGTACACTCTCGATAAGAAAAATCAAAATTTTTGTGAAATTCAAAGCATTACAACGGATTTTGCATAACAGTATGGCAAGTACTACAAAGACTAATATTTTGATAGAATGCAAAGAATACTTCTGTTTAAAATCTGATGTGACGTAGGGAAATGTTGTCAGGGCTCTGATGATCTTCACTTATAGAATGCTTAGGTAGGCAAACAGTAAGTTCTCTATTTTACTTTTACTTTTTTTTATTCGTGCGGAAATACAGTTCAACGAACAATAATTTAAAAAAATACTATATTCTGGGCTGTTATCGGAACTTCCCGTGAAGCTAATAACTTTGTTAGAACTTCGTGTCTCAAAAAACTGAGTAATTTTTTTTAGAAAAACTGTCGAATCAAAAGCTTTCCCAGAAAGTCTTAGGCATATGAACTGGTTTTGCCACCAATGTCCAGTGAAGAGTGACGAGTCATATCTGCATGAAAAATAGACTAGCTCGCAGGAGTGATTGATGAGGCTCAAAGTGATAAGACTTATCAGTTTAAACTGTCATAGATGACCAGGACTTCAAGAAGGAAGAGTGGGCTTGAGGAAGAACAAGCACACAGAGACCGCGCTCTTAAGTGCTGAGGAGGAACCCTGTAAGGGTATTTAAATGTTGTCAAATATCCTCTGTTAATTTATTTATTTTCAAAAAAGTTATTGATACCTTTTCTCTGAAAAATTTCAATAATTTTGGATTATATTGCAAATAAAATTCTCTGCTCAGTCCGGAGAGTGCAAGTCAGCCCTTTTCCTAAAAATTCGTATTTTACTATCGTAAATTTGGCGGCATCCGAGTGTCCATACGACGTTTTTCCTCAGCACGGGCGATAGTGTGAGCCCTGTCATTTATAATCTGGAGGGAGCTAGGATTAAAACTCAACGCCCCCTCTTCAGAGCCTGTAATGGACCCGCCTCGCTTACTTACTGTCAGTTCTCTTCGGTCGTGATCGTCGCCTAGCTGAGGGCCAGCGCTTGAAATATTAGTGAGGCTAAATAAGGGGCAATGATAATGATATGCAAGGCGTGGAAAGTAAAAGTGATGTAACGTGATTTCCACTCCTTAATTTTACTCTCGCTTTCGGGCGCTGTCCCACACACTCTATGATCGGCTCAGTTGTTGTGTGCCTTACGCTCATTACGCACTGAGAAAAAGCTATGGTTTATAAACCTATTAGTGGTAAATATGGAACACCTATAATAGTCGTAAATAAACTAATGATTCTCGGTCTGTGAACCATACTAAGGTCTCTGTACCTAATTAAGGTACAGAGACCATAACTAAGGTATATGTGCTATTATTATATGTAGAGGTACTACTATTAGTGGTGTTCCATATTTACCTCTAATAGGTTTATAAGCCATAGTTTTTTCTCAGTGCGTATCGAACGTTACGTTCCGTTACGCTACGTTACGTTTCGTTACTTTGGACACGCTGTTAATGTTTTTGTGATAATCACGTTAAAGAGGATCAGCAATGTTCGTAGAATACATAGGGTTTATTTACCAATATTATTTCGCTGAATGCGATCGAAGAACAGGGGGTTGTATGTAATTTCAAGGGAATTTCATTTTCCTCCCTGAAAATTCAGTGGTTTATTTTTATAAGGGTGCGAAAGAAATCACCGTTATTACATGAAGATTGGGTTCCATCGTCAAATTTTAATTGATATGAAAAAGACTAACTCAAACATTTTTTAGGCATCGCCGTCTCAATTCGGCTGGTTCGGAGACTTTAACGCGCGGTTACGACGATTAAACAACTTTGAGTGAAAATTCCATCCTACCAAAATGCTCATTGGTGAGGGGCAAAAACTGTTTGTAAGAGGCAACATTTTCTTGAAACTTTACGTTTCTGTAAAATGTATACAACTCAAGTTTCTCTAACGGAAAACCAATAGGATCGTTTCATTTTCCATTTGTCTTCTTTTTAGGTGCTGAAAATAAAGTGCCTCGTTGCGCTACGTCATCGAAAGTGGCGACACACGAGATTTCAACTGAAAACGAAGAGAGCGCAACAAGACAAAAATTATGACACAACATCGTCGAGGAAAAAGAGACATACTTAGCACCATTACCACTTGAATGCCTGTAAACTACAGAATAGGCAATAATTAGAGGCGAAATATTCAGACTGCCCCCTCCCTCCGCTAACCCCTCCCTGCTGTCGAAGATGTGTGTGTACAAGTCTGTGTACAAACAATGTGCACGTACTCGCGTGGTGGAAAGTGTAAAACCTCATGTCGCCGAGAAAAGTTATAGAAGTCTCAAGTTCCACGAATAGGAGAGCGAAAGAGCGTTCAATCGTTCGTCTTTGAAATTATTAAGAAGGCAATTGAATGGGTTTTGTGCCTAAGGGCTCAGCTCAAGTTCATCGCGGTGTTTTAAAATTGTTAGGGACTGTTTTCAC